CAGGTGAGAGTTAGGGTATGAGAGGGCTTCGCAAGGGCAGGTCCCGGCTCCTCCAACTGCACCTTGCACAGGACACCTGGGGACAGAGTTCCACAGTTAGTCCAGGGCTCAGATGCAACAGCCCCATATCATTTTACCTGAATCTGTGAGTGGCTGCATGTCCTTGAGGCTCCACCTGTGATATAATAACTGTGGCCCAGTGCCTGAGGCTTACACAACAGACACCATTAAATGCAAATCTGCATGGTTTTGCCACCACTCAACATTGCCTTATTGGATATTGAACTGTGACACTAATCATCATGGCTTCCATTGTAGCTGGGATTACAAGAATGTACTCCCCAGGCCCTGTGTAAAACCTCATTTTCCTTTCAATTAAACCGGTCCTCATGGCGTTATATGGTACATGAATTTTACTTGGTTGTCCTATCCTCAGCCCAATATAGCATGGCAGATTTTATGAAATGGGGGCCAATGTCATCTCAGTCTTCCAAGAGGACTCTCAAAACTAAGCAGTGTGACGCCTATAACAGGAGATTCACCTGAGGTTATTTAGAGGAAAAAACCTTTGCAGGAGGCTGGGCAGCATCCACACACGTGAGGGCATATCAGCATTCCTTACCTATGGGTCCTGTGTGTTCCATCTACCCCTCACTAGGCACACTGACGTATATGCCTGTCTAGATAGTGCTTTCATACATCAACATCATGGTCAAGATGAAGTCCTTCATATCTGTGCAATATTGAATGTGTCAGAACACTTTATGGCATGTTAGCAACATAGGTCCTAATTTCACAAGGACATAATAATATGCAGCTTCCTAGGAAGTCTTGGGAAAATTGGCTCATACCCATGTGAGAATTTCAGCTTCCTGGTAATTAGGGGAAGATGGTACTGGTCCATGTATGTATTCATGGAAGACAGAAGCGCTATGAAACATTTTGCATTTGCTCATAAATGTCCTTAAATCTCTTGTACTCATAATGGCTGAAAAGCAATTGTCTGAGCTCAGTTTCCATTGTGTCATCCATACATACTCTAAGGAGAAAAATCCAGTGTCTACCTGTACTGGACCATCTATCATTGTAACTTAAATGTAACAGTAGATGCAGTCACATTGATTCATATTAATAATTTAATGCAGTTATTAGGCTTTTCAGGTTCTTTTTAAGATCCTGTTGGGGAAACTGTCACCACACAATACTTCTGTCCTCACATGTACCCCATCCACTTGTGATTGCCTTCTGGTAATAAAATAATCCCCTCCTTCTCTCATACAGAGCCTAAGGAAGGACACCTGAGCTGATTTCTGTATTACTCCCTTTACCTTCTCTCAATGTGAGATCAGATTACTAAGCCATTTTTTGCAGAATACAAAAGTCCACCTCTCCCAACCCTTGTGGTCTCACTCAATGGTCCCCATTGTCCTGATACACTCATGTAGGGTGACTTTTTTCTTGTCAGATCATCCACCTGGCTCAGCAATGCTGAGTTCCCCATCCTGTAGTCACTGCAGCGACATCTACAGACTCCTGCCTAGTGAGCAGTGTTCCTCTATGCCTGGGCTGGGAATCTCTGTGCACATTAAAGACTGAAACATGTGACATGATGAATTTGTTGAGACCCACAGTGCTCCATGGTAGCCATGGATGACAACATTGAGTTGTACATTTGAAATTTTCTAAGAGCACATGTCAGATGATCTGATGATCAAAATAAAGAAAAGCATATTCACTGATTTTATGTTAATTAGACTCAATTTGGAAATGATCTCACAATATTAGTATATTATCAAACACAGATTTTCAATTTTTACTTCGTTTGACTTTTTTCCATTCTTTTTTCTTAATTTTTAATTGTTTATATGTTTATTCATATGTATACACATTGTTTATGCCAACTCTCCCACTGCTTCTCACTCCCTTCCCCCACCCTCCTCACTTCCAGGCAGAACCTGTTCTGCCTTTTTCTTCAATTTTGTTGAAGAGAAAACATAAGGGATAATAAGAAAGACAGAGAGCATTTTTGCTAGTTTGTGGTAAAGATAGCAATACAGAGAGATTTCTAGCATTGCTTCCATACATATGTGTATTACAACCAGAATTAGTTCATTTCTACCAGACTTCTTCATCTTTCATTATATTTTATTTAATTTTTATTATCATATTTTGTACTGGGAGTACATTGTGACATTTAAAAAGTGCTTGTAATATCTTTGGTAGATAAGTCCCTTCCGTTATCCTCTTTATCTTCCCACCCCATTGGTAGACTAATGTCCTCTGTTCTCATTTTTCCATTTCCATAGAGGATTACATAATATTTCCACCATATTCAACCTCCTACACCCTTTTATTATGTAGTAACATTTTGTGAATGAGACATTTTCAGTACTTGCAAATAAATGCAATATCTTTATAACAGAAATTCTTGCAATGCCATATTTATTAAAGTACTCTTTACAAACAAGCAAATTCTCCTACAGTAGATAAATGGGTATAGAAGATGTGTAATATATAGACAATGAAATACTATTGGAGGAAAAATGGCCTCTGGTGTTTGTTCCAGTGAAAATCCAACTGGACACAATACCATAGTTGAAATAAGCCAACCAGAGGAAGAGGATTACCACACAATCTCCCTCATTTTTGGAAGCTAAAAATCAACCTATTGGAATGCCAGTGTGGAATAGTAGGCACAAGAGACTGGGAAAGTTGCAGGGAGGAGATGGAGTGAGAGAGGATCATGGGTACAACCTACAGTCAGGAGGAAAGGTCCTGGATATTTACAGAACAAAGGGGTCATTAAACTCTACTAGACCATGTTGTAAGTTTCCAAATACCTAGAGGAGAAGAGTTTGTAGGCTCCCAAGACAAAGACATGATGAATGTTTGAATAGAAAGACATTCCTCTTGCCTGGATGTTACTATGACAGTTTGTATTCCTGCATCAATTATCATGCTCTGCCTCACAAAATTAAACAATTAAAATAATGAAATTGTAGACCTGTATCTGATAGATATGCTGACAATCTTAGGAATGTTATAACAGAAAGACAATGATAGAGAACAAATAACATAATGCAATAAGTATTCTTTGTGAAGATAAAGTGAATATATGCAAATGTCAAATTCAATAAATATGATGTACACAAGTGGAAATTACCATAATCATCAGGCTGCAGCCATCAAATAAAGACAATCTGCAACTCTGAGAGGTCACATTTATTGGTGATTCAAGCATCTGTCCACGACAAGAGGTGAGCAGAGCCTTTTGGCCAGCACAAGTCTAATGAGGAATTTCAATGAGACAAAGGAAGATGACATTGACAGATTGGAGAGAAATCCTCAGGGTGCAGACATGATAGCAACAGGATCACTGAAAATAACAAATTTTATAGTGTAGTTTTTGTAAGGTATCTGGAAGGTCATTGGAAAGATACAACATATGAAAATTTGTATTTACTTGTAGAAGGAAGAATAACAGACAATAATGTAAGGGAAAGAAGGTGCCATGTACCTCAGTTTCCAGCACAACAAATATGTAGGAATAATGGAAGTGTGTTCTTAATTCTTTCTTATTAAAAAACAGAACTACTTTGCTAGACATATAAGGGCCAGAAATTATCAAAAAGCAAATGTTTCAAAGTGCCAAATTTGATGTACAACATCAAATATAGAATCAAATCTAGAAAGCAGTCATTTAAACTTTATTGTGTAAGTGTTCAAACTCGTTTAATTTCACACAAAGAGACAGTAGCAGTCAAGCACCATTATGGAATTCGAAGAGAAAAAGATGTCCATCCTGGGCTAGATTGCAGCTTAACGTTTAGGACAAGGTGGACTCTAATAGTGATTTCAACAGGGGCTCCAAATGTTCACTCATTTGTGATGCTTAGAAATCCTCCAGAACATTGAAACCTAGGGAGTCATACAAGCTACAATTTCCCACTACCAAATATCCTGGGGATTCTACAGCCCCGAGTCACTTGACAGCAAGCGTGAATCCAGGTCATCCTTGTCATCAAATGTATTCAATACTCTGTGCCCAGGCACAAAGAGAGCTAACCTCAGCTTCCAGAGTCCTGTAAGACTTTCACTGCACTTGCTTAACTGGGCCTTTGCCAACAGCACCCATTCTTCCTGAGACCACACTCATGCTTCTACTGACCACATGCCAGGTAAACCCTGCATCAGAAGTGAGCACATCTGCCTTTGAAAATAGGAGATTTTTGCATGTCTTTGTGCGTGTGTGTGGAGGGGGGTGTATGTTGTAAGTATAGGCCTGTTATAAAACTACATTGGTGAGGGAAAAGTTATATAAATATGTAAACTCATTTTGAATGTACATATTTCTTTGCATTTTGACCAGTTTTAGTACTTCAGGACATAGTTCACCTTTCTCTTTCTGTTGACATTTGTGGTCACAAAATTCCTTATTGTGCTAACTGTCCGGGGATTGTAGGGTGTTTGTCAGCACAGAAGGTCTCTGAAGCTAGATACCACTAGGATAATTTATAACTCTTTAAGAAATATTGGGATTTGATCTCAGAGCTATGTGCTTGAGAGGCCAGGCCTCTGTCACTTGAACAAAAGCAATCTTTTTTTTGCTTTTCTTTATTTTTCAGATTGCATGTTGACATATTGCCCCATGCAGACAGTTACTGGGATCCTCCTTCTTTCAGTCACATAACTGGTAATGTCTGCACCTGGCCTGAGGCTGAGCCTGACCTCCACCTGTGCTGTGCACCCTCTGCTGCTCATGAGTGTCTGTGCTCATAATGAAGTCCCCTTGCTGGGTCTCTTACACAGTAATACACAGCTGTGTTTTCAGTATTCAGGCTGTCCATCTGCAGATACAACTGGCTCTTGGCATTGCCTCTGGAGGTACTGAATCTGCTTTTCACAGAATTTAGGTAGTATGTGCTATCACTATCAGTACTGATTCAGCCAACCCATTCCATCCCCTTCCTGGAGCTTGGTGCACACAATGCATATAGTAATTACTGAAGGTGAATCCTGAGGCTGCACAGGAGAGTCTCAGGGATCCCACCCCTAGGTGGCACCAAGCCTCCTCCAGACTCTAACAGCTGGATCTCACACTGGATACCTGAAAAGACAGAGAATCCTTGTCAGGAAACTGTAACACATGACCACTCTTCCTGTCACTTGTGTCCACTCACACACTCAGTAGCATGTCTTCTGTGAACCACCTTTTAAAATAGCAACAAAGAAAAACCAGTTGAATACCAACTCCATGGTGATTGGTCCATGTTCAGTGCTGATCTCTGAATGGGATCAGCTGGAAATCCAGTACTGGGCTCCCTTTCCAGAACTACAGGGTCAGGGCTAGGTTTGTTGTTATGGACAAAAGGAGATCTTCTTTTCCTTTCCTCCTGCTATATAGCAGGATCCTGGGCTTGATGTTTAAGAGAATGCAGTGCCACAGCTGATATAGTGTGCTAGGAGAAATTGAAGTCATGAAAACATTTAGGTAAATATAGTTTTTGTTACATGTTTATGTTGTGATAATCACTGAATCCTGATTATATTATTGCCATGTACATGACCATATAAATCATGCATTTCATTTATGTCTCACACTTTACAAACAGAAACATTGACTCAGAAGCAGTGAAGGACTAAGTGATATGTCTACATCTCTTATCTGATAGAAACCAACTCAACTATTTGGACCTACAGATCTTCCCACAGTTCTCAACTGTCCCTCACAGAATTGAAGGAAAATGTTTACACACCTCGTCACCTCAGAGGGCATGACATGATTTTCATTCATCCTGTGCTTCCCTGAACATAGATCAGCAATGAAGATTCTTTTAAGTCTCTACTCAGGTGTCTCTCACATGTCTTGTGTTATTTTCTCTCACTCCTTACCTACCAAAATATACATTTTTTATTTGTAATAGCTTTAATGAAGTATGAATCACATATTTTCACATATGTAAAAATGTATAATGTGATAAATATTGATAAAAATTTTACCACTATCCAAATAGGCAAATCAATTAACCCAAGCTTTACTCTTGTTTTTATGTTCTTTTTCCTATATATAATGTCCTTTACAATATTATTGTACTGATAATATTACAATGCTGCAGTACCTTTTGTAGTTATTGGATGTTACTTACCAAAAAATGCAGAGATACCAGTGTTATCCTGAACTTTTGGGAGTCATTGCTGCTGTGATTGTTTCACTTGTGCCTGCTTTTGAAATTAATACTTTTAATATTTCTTCACATATTGTGCCATAGATAATCCAGCTATGATCAATTTTTCCATGAGAAATCCTATAGTCTAAACTCTAAGCACTTTATGAACAATACAACATGTAGTTATCACTACAATGACCATGGTGCACACAAGATCTCCTTCATTATTCTTATATAGCGGAAACTTTAAATAGTTTTACCAATATTTCCTCATCCCACTGCCCCCACCAGTTTAACCCATTCTACTTGAGTACTCTATGATAGCCACTGCTTTAAATTCCACAAATATTATCTTATGTATTTGTTTTCCAACAACTGGATTACTTCACTTAACATCGTGTTAATCCAAAAATAACTCTGGAGTCATAATACTAGATGTTTTTAATACACAGGCCACTGGGTAGATCACTCAGCTACAAGTATGACCAATTCCCACTGCCACAAACCATGGATCACTGGTCACTGAGTGTGGGGCCATGGACAGTCAAGGCCTGGACAATAACCATTGACCTGAACACCTAGAGCTATGATATCTGCTATGTCGAGCTGGGAGCCAAAGCCTCTAGTTCTCAGGATCCTGATCTGACATCCTCCATGGTTGTCAATCCAACTCAGAGTCGCTTGGCACCTGAGGGCCCAGGATACTACACTGAGGAAGCTGTCCATTCTCTACTCAGAATTTCCATTGGTAGAACAAAAGAACTCCAGTCTTGATTGGATTCAACCCCTCCACCATTCTCATTTACCTCTCTATCCTTCTTAAAACAAGTTCAACAGGTTTTATCATTCTATTTCTTACAACTATGCAAAGTTCATCAGCCATTTTCTCCTTCCTTCACCCTCCCTTTCCTACTGGATCCCATCTCCAGAACATGAACTCTTTTACCTTCATATTCTTCATTTATGAAACTGTATATTAATTGGGTTCCCATGGTATTGCATAGATTGTATTATAGGCAGATTAACCATCTTTACTACTCTTTCTTGTTCTCTTTCTTTATCCCCAACTCCCTGTTATTCTACAGCTTTCAGTGCATTTCATAATGACATCTTCAGACACAGGGGCAATGTAATTCAATATTAGTGACTCTTGTCATTCTCTTTTCTTCTCCTGCTTCCTGCTATCCCAGGCAAATTGTTCCACTATTATCATCTTTGTATACATATATGTCTATATACATATTATCATGTTTGTGTTGATGTACACATTTACGTTTTATGACTAGTTTCCACACATGAGAGAAATCATGGTAACATTGTCCTTCTGAATCTGACCCATGTCACATAACGTGATGATGCCTAGTTCCATCTGTGCTGAGATGCACCACCCCATACCCAGCCAATACAGACACCAGTTATTGACTCAAACCTCTAATACTTAGAGACAAAATTAACCTTTTATCTTTGCAAGTTGATTACCTCAGATATTTGAGCCAAAAATGAAAGCTGAACAACACAATTAAGTTTTGTTTTATTATCACTTTTGTGCTTCTTGACTCAGCTTTATTAAGTTATAATTGACATAAATTGTATTATGGAGAACACAATATATAAGATTAATTACACAGTGCATTAAGTACACTTTGTGGCACCTAATCTTTTGATATATGTATTCACTGTGAAATGATTAAGACAATCCAGTCAATGTATGTCTCATTTCTCATAGTTATCATTTTTTTGGTGACAAAATTCACTACAGTCACCATGCTGCACAATATTACTCTAGAGTTTATTAATGGTATCAGCCTGAAGCATTGTACACTTTGACCTGCTTTTCTCCTTCCCAACCTGTGGTAATCACCATTCCATTGTTTTATGAGTTCAACCTTTTGTATTCTAGTTGTTATTGAGACTGTGCAGTGCTTGCCCCTTTTTTTCAGGCCTTTTTCAATTAGTATGTAACCCAGGTTTTTCTTAATATTTTCTATTCTGTTATTGTTAGGTTTGGGGTACGTGATCACATTTACAAAAGGCCTTCAGTATATCATATTTGAATTACCCCCTCCATCCTTCTTCTTTATATTTCCTCCCACATTCCTGGAAAATTTTCAAAACATCTTATTTTTCTATTGTTATTCATGTGGATGCAATCTTTGCACCATATTCACCCTCCTATATCTGCTCCCCATAACTTCCCCTATTACTGGTACCAAACCCTAGTAGGATTGAATTAATAATCATTATTGAATGACATGTTTGTCTGACATTAGGATTTCACATGTCACTTTCCCAGTGTCAGAATTCTGACTTCTATGAGCTGCTAACTCTTTCCTGTACACAAGCTTTGTGATGAGAAGATCCCATAGGATCTCCAGATTCATTTGCATACCACTTCTTTCAGATCCTCCATGTGTGCAAGATATCAATTTTGTAGTATCAATTCATAAAATTTTTAGATGATCTAGAATTATAGAAATTCCTGTCTTAAAAGAAAATATGGTGTGTGCATTTCAGTAATATCTTATGGATTCTGATCCACTAACGTTTGTCTGACTCCATACCCAGAAGTTGTATCAAGACAAATGTTGTAGAGATTTGGGTTCTCCTACTGTGTAGATATGAGCCAGTGTAGTGGGTTGCCCCACAACAAAATTCACTATAGTCACCATGCTGCACCATATTATTCTAGAGTTTATTAATGCTATCAGGCTGATACCATGCAACTTTCATATTGTACCATTGTTAAAAAGAACACAGTAGCTCATTTCATACAATTCCCAAGAGACCTGTGGTTTAGTCTTAGAAAAGCAACAGAAAGACAGGGCTGTAAGGCCCTGGGATGAATAGAGAACCCTGGAAGCTGAAAGGAAAGGGCACATCCTCTTTATTTTACTGTTGCACAGAGGAAGGAGAGGATTTAAGGGTCCCTCCAGAGATCTTCTGCAGGAAGGACCTGGGGCTGTCACCATGATGCCTTAGCACAGTAATAGGTGTCTGTGTCTGCAGGATTCATGCTTGTCACTGTGAGGAACACCTTTTTGTAGGAACTATTCTTGGAGTTGGTGAGTGAGGTCTTCATGTCTGTGCTGGAGTACTCACCATCATCCATTCAAAGTGGGCTCACAACTCCTGGGCCTTTGTTTGGGGCTGGTGGGCTGAGGTAACAAACCAGTGGAACTCAGAGAGAAGCCAGAGAAGGAGCAGGTCAGCCTGAGAGACTGGAAGGGTGGAACCATCCCAGGGAGAGACTATTTCAGAGTGACATGGGACAGGATCCCTATGGAGAAACACAGGAAGAATAATGTCCCCTTATATCCTCTCTGGGGGTGGCTTGTTTGATCTCTGAGAGTGCTTGTTGGAATTTAGCAAGTTGAGTGGCATGGGAAATTAACTGAGCTGTCTCTTGGTAAAGAAGGAGGTCATTGGTTAAGAAGGGCCTGCTCTATAGAGATTCAAAAGTGATCCAGTCTCTGCTTGCCTGGAGTGTTTCTGAGCCTGATGAGAGCAGTAGGGAGGAGCTTGGTCCAGGGGTAGTGGGTGTTTTGGGCCAATTTAGCCAGGTGTCTTTTTAAAAGTTCATTTTTTTCTGCCTTTCCAGATGACTGGGGATGCCAGGCACAGTGGAGGTGGTATTCTATCTCTAGTACTCTAGAGAGTCCCTGAATTACTTGTGCATTAAATTCAGGCCCATTATCATTTTGAAGGCTTTTGGAGAGGCCAAAGCAATGGATTATTTCTGTGATTAGAACTTGGACCTCCTCCCTATCACGTTCTGTACTGCAAGGAAAAGCCTCCACACATCCAGTGAACATACCCACAAATACTAACAGCAGTTTTGACTTTGGTCCACCTGGCATATGGGTAAAGTCTAGTTGCCAGTCTTCCCCAGGATAAGATCCCTGTTTCTGTTCTCCTGGCACCTGGAGTATTTTTATTATTG